CTAGGAGCCAGTTCAATAGATCACGATTTGTAAGCGATTTTGATTGCTTGCGGGTATTGAACTCTCGGTATCTGCTAAATAAAAGTTTTATTAATTTATTCGTTGTTATTTTGGTTACATACATGTACCTCTTCCAATCCTTGTTACTTGACTCCTGTGCTTCCTCAGAAAGCTGACCGATTGGAACAAGGAAATGTTCAATGACGGCTGATCTATGTATCAATACTTTATGAATACTAGCCGGCAAGTAATACCAGGTTCGATAGGTTGGTGTCGATTAACAAAGCCAACGCATTAAAAAAAAATTAGATCTGTGTATTCGGGTAAAGGGTTGCTCAATGACTTTTTCAAAGAATGAACCAACTTATTTTCATCTGCAGGACTTGCGTGAGAAACGTTTTTCAGGATATCCGCCACCTCTTTCTCATCTGATTCTCTCATCTTCATTTGTGTCGCAAATGCTAGCTCATTAAGCTGTTTTTTTATTACTTTATTAAAGAGATTTTCAGCCTTCGGCTGGTTCATCTCTGGAAATTAAGCTGGTAGCTATTCCAAACCTCTGCAGTTTTCTTCCTTTACGTTGTTTCACAACATTCTTCGAAAGGAACAACATTCCGTCCTGCCACACTTTTCGCATTTTTAGAAGTAGACGGAAGCAAGATTAAAACGTTTACCGTAACCGTGAACGGCTTACTGAAATACTCGATGTGACACTTGACAACCATGCACGAGCATGTTTGGTCCAGAGCTTTTGAAAAAAGTCGCTCATGGTTTTCATGGGTTTTCCGACATGTGCAGCCACATCCGGCATAATATTCACATATATGGCATAACACTGGAGTACCTTCTCATAAACGCAGTTTAATTTTGATGATCGGCCTCCACTCGTTTTTGACCATAGTGACAAGAGATCACGCTTATCAATTTCAACTTAAATTGAATCAAGAAAAAAAAAAAGATCATTAGCACTTGTTGTGATCTAACGATGAATTGAAAAATTTAAAAATTTAAAAGAAATTAAGCCCTACCAGATAATGCCATTTTACTTCAAAGTCCTGCTCTCGTAGCTTCCTCTGCTGTCCGGTTTCTTTGGCAGAATTAGTCTCTCTCTCCTTCGCTTGGTTTCCGCAGTTCTTTTATCTTACATTCTTTCATATACTTTCACAATTGCTTCACGCTTGAAGAAAAACAGTGATGAGCACTATGGAAAAACACTTATAGACTCACAAGTTTAACTGAATTTGACAGATTTTTTTCGTTCTTGATGCTTCAGTTTTACCTTCTGAGAACCGTTTGAAAAGAAGATGTGTAGTTCTTGAATTTTATAAGCTCTGAGAAGTGGGAAGTTTGTTTATGGAGCTGGTTACTATGGAAAGGAATTTATTACGCGGTATGAAACAAGTATCCCCTTGTTATTTACATGACTTCTATAAAGCCTATCAACGGGTGTTTGTTTTGATCACAACTCTCCAGCAGACGGTCGTGGACGGACAAGCTCACCACCATTTGAAAGCTCTTTTAATGTTGTTTTAGATGCATTTAATTTCATCTGCACTTTCTTGCACCTAAGAAAGATACGCATGTCCAAAATATGTGGAAAACATAAAAAAATTTATCAATAACTCATCCTATTAAAATGATGCAGGTATAGTATGTTCTAGAAACATGTGTATTTTAGTATATCAATCAACTTTGTTGAACATAGTGAAGACCTAAAATTAAAGAAAATATATGTTTTTATGAAAAACGTGTTTTTGGGGGTCCGTCCTCAAACAACGCTCTCTATCTCGATTTGAGTGGAATTTACGACATTTAAGTCTTGAGCAAAGTTGTTTGTAACTATTTTTTCTACAACTTTGCTGAAGACATCAACCATTTATCTCGATATTGTGAAAAAATAAATTTTCCATTTCACTTCTAGGAGGATTAATCACAAAACCCATGCCTTCAAAAGATGTAGCATGTCATACTCATCAACTTTGCTTAAGACATAATTACTCTAAATCCACTCTCCATGGTGCTATTAATTAAGAGCGTCAAAATGGGCTTTTCAACCACTGTGCACCGGTTTGATTTTTCTCCCGGTCCAGAAATTTGTGGCATCGCGAGCGATAATTTAAATTTTAGTTTATTTACGCGGTGATGATGATGTTTTCGAACGAAAGTGTACCAAAAGTGTTTCTGAACGTGTTTCGTAGTTGGGTGTGGTGAAATTCGTGCATTCCCGGTTGATTTTGTAAATCCGTATCACATGCCAAGTGAAAATCGAGAACGTAATTTCATTTGAATAGCTTGTTTAACCAGGTCTTAAACCATCGTCACGTCGGTCATAGCTTGTCATGATTGCCTGAACCATGCGTAAAGAGAAAATCGAAACATTTAACGTCGCGTGAAAGTGGATCTTAATGAAGGCCTCTTTCGTTTAAGGATTTAAAAGATCGTCGGTTGCAGTGGCTTAATTACTGAGCAGAAAAACGCGGTCCAAGGTTCTTTCATATTAAAAATGTATGGTAAGATCACTTGTGTATCGTGTATTTTGTAAAACTTTTCGTTGTCGTCGGTGCCGGGTTTGAATAGTTATAAAAATTTGAGTAACGCTATAATGTGATATGAGAGGCTCGGTGGCCTTAGAACAACCGGGTTTACTTACTGAGCAGAACATCATGAGTCTAATCTCAAGCCCATCCACATTCAAGATTCGTCAATCGTTTTATTTGTTAACATGACTACATGGTAATAACAGCAACTCGATGATTAAAAAGGAGCTCGTCTGCCTAGTGTCAAACGTTTTTGCTTACTGAGCAGAAGACCGTAGGTTCAATCCCAAGCTCCTTCGCGTTATATGATTTTTAGGACATAAAAAAAAAATCTTTTTTATTTACACATTGAGGATGATTGCTAGTCCCAAGCATCGTCTATTGGTTCTCTGTGTAATTACAGCTGGTCTGGCAATAACAGAGTAGCAACCGTGGGCGGTCAATCATGTCAATTGACACGCAATGCACTATGGGCAAAAATGGGTCCAAAATTTGATTTTTTCAAATATTTATAACTTTTGAACTGTTTGGCCGATGACGAAACTCAAAATACCAAATGAAAGTTAATTAAAAGAATTTTTCAGATAAAAAATATTATGATATTAAAAAAAATGGATTTTGTATTAAAAAACATAGATTGTATTTTCACTTTTACCCCTTAAAGTGTACCCCGTATTCCCTTAATATCTCATGAACTGTTGTTTAAAGACATAGTATTCTAAAAACATGCATAAAGTGCTTATGTTTTACGAAAAATAGAACTGTAAAAAAACCTTTGGGGTAAAATGGTCCAAAACACATACCTACAAGGCTCTCCGGTTCATGGGATCACGTGCAATCGATTTCCCTTCGGAAAAGTCGTTTTTCATGGCCGGAATTCAGCGTGCTGTTGAGATATTAAATTTTGGGTAATTTTGGACCCATTTTTGCCCATAGTGCATTGGTTGGAAAAATAAAAGAATTTATTGGTAAAATCTTTTGCGGAGTTTCGCTAAGCTGTCAATTTTCGATGAATTCTTCAATCAAACGTAATTTTTTATGAAGATAACGCAACACATTTCCCACGTTAAGGAAAATTTTGCTCATCTTGCCTTAAAGTTTTAGATGCGTTTGGACGAATTGATCGCTACTAGATTTTAAAAATAAACGATGACATCCATGTGCCATTATCACATATGTGAAATTCAGAACCTATTTAAATCATAGAAACGAGATTATGTTCCTGTTAGATTTTCAAATTTCTCGACTTTTTCCTGGATTTCCAGGTTTTCCTGGCAAGGTTTTCGACCTTGCAAAACTGCGCTAAAGTTCGCAGAATGTTTATAAACTTTGCAGATAGTTTATTGAACTTCCTTGAAAGTCGCAGAACTTTCCTGAAAGCGAAGTAATGAAATTGGGTTGTTAGCGGAATGCTTAAATAAAACAGCAAAAAAGGTTATCTTCCATTTAATTCCACTTAATTAATTTTGGTATCCATGACAGATACGTATTTCGACTACAATGTGCAGTCTTCATCAGCGTCATTCCCACTAAAGAACTTATCGAAATCTAACCCCCTTAAGTACTCATCCCCTAGGTATAAAAGTCAAGATCACAGGTATAAAAATGAATCTACAATGTGTTGAATCGGAACCTACCCCTTATACCTAGGGGATGAGTACTTAAGGGGGTTAGATTTTGATAAGTTCTTTAGTGGGAATGACGCTGATGAAGACTGCACATTGTAGTCGGAATACGTATCTGTCATGGATACCAAAATTAATTAAGTGGAATTAAATGGAAGATAACCTTTTTTGCTGTTTTATTTCCTGAAAGCATTCTTAGAAAAATTATGGGAACTGCGCTGAAGTTCTAGCAACTCTATAGTCACTCAAGGTGAGAGCTAGCTGAACTCACAGGACAAGAGTATTTGCTAACGTCATGTGAGTTTGAAGAGTTTCAATAAGCCTGTGCTCCTGTATCATGTCGGTTCGTCCGTAGTTGTTCAGCTTCTTAGAGATAGTTCGAAAATCAAACTCGAACATTCCTATATTCCTATTATACTATTATATTCTATGCCCAGGGATTTCGAGAAATATTCCAACTCGAAAAATTCCTCGACTAGACCGGAAATCGAACCCAGCTGAGCTAAGGGGGGTAAAATAATTATTGTCAATAATAAATTTTCAATATATTGTAAGGTGGGGCAAGATGGGTCAGCTAATACATTTATTAATTTATTTGATTGTCAAAATCAACACTTTCAATGCAAACCCAACGATGGTTTACTTTTTCAATGCAGAATTGGGGCTACATTGAGCCTGTTGATGTTGACAATCAAAACAAAAATAAAATCAAGTAGATGATCCATTTCCAAGGGATGTGATCATATTAACCAAAAATTATTTCTGCTTACGCAATGCAACTTAACTATGCTTAGCTTTATGTATGAGTATAAGCAAAACGGTTAGTATATGTTAACTTAACCAACACCAGCTTAGTTTAGCATTTAATAATATAGCGATAAATATCCGTCTCATTGAGCATATGTTTATCGAACAGCTCTAATAGTATGTTATGTTGTTATTAAACTGTTGCTTCTCTTCAGCATAAAAAAGCCAATAAGACGAAAATGTGACATTTAGCACATCCAATCACATTGCTCAATGATTTCAATAAAATGTAGTGTTCTGGCTGAAGGCTCCACAGAGGCGGAATTCGTTGTGTATGAGAATGGCTCTAAAATAACAAGATGTTTGATTAACACATGATTCTGTCAGCATTTAATAGCATTGAGAAAGCCATACCTCATAAACTGCGGCGATCCCATGCCCTTGTTAACTGTTTTTCCGCCCAGTCTCAAAGTAAACTGTTTCTCCACCGGATCGGGCAGCGACTGAAAATGAACAACAACGAACAGGATAACAACCGTTAGATCAAACCATTCAGCCCCGTCTACACAAGTGCAAGCGTACAATATAAGCTCCATCAACAAGCATAAAGCTTACCAGCGCAACAGTTTGCTCGTTTGCAAGCTCATTTGCGGCCATCTTCGCCTCGGTGAACATGCTGAGCACCCGCTTGGCCATGGCGCTTTTCGCTCCATCTTCCAGTTCACTCTCGAAAGCTTTCAGCAGTTTGGATAGCACCGCTCGCCCCGCTTCTCTATCCAAAGCTTCTCCCTCTCCGTCGGGGAAAAGTTTCTTCCGTAGACTTCTCACCTGAATAATCACATTCTCCAGCTGGGTGATGTCCGATAGGAGAGCTTCGAACTTTTTCACCGAATTTGCTCGAGTCGGCGCATTGGTGATCCAATTTTCGCGCGAAAGTTTACAGCATGTACCGGTAACTTTCTCCATGCTTTCTGTAAAATTGGGAATAACTTCGCGTTCCACTCCAGCCTCTTCCTGGATCGTTCTGATTGCAGTATGAAACAATGTTGACATGGTCAGTTGAGCAATCTGGCCCAAGGATCTGGAATCGAGATAGTGAAGCACCTTTTCCGCTTCCTTTGCGTCATCGAATAGACGTCTTTGACGCCGGGCAGGCACTGGTCTAGCATCTTCCCACACCGTTTGCCAGGTATTCCCGGGGATCATCATCCGAGAGCTCAATGTTCCCTTCCGTCCGAAAGGATCCCGCTCGTCGGAATCTTCCTCGATCCAGTCCCTCGGGCTGTACCAACGGATAAAGTCTTCCAGCTTGCCGGCCGGATTGGCCGCCTTGAAGCTCTCCATGTCGGACAGCAGCGAGGCGCTCATCATCTGGGTGCACAGCTCACTGCCGGGGCCCAGTTTCAGCATCACTTCAGCATCGTCCTCCAGTTGGTCTTCGGTTTTCGGTACCGGCTCTTGAGTGATCGGAATATAGAGTGGCTCATCCGAGTCGACCAGCAGCATTTTGCCGAGTTTCGAGAGCCGTCCAACCGGTTGGTTCCAGGGGGCGTGACGTTTTTTGGATTCTGGAAAATTACAGATGGGATGGAGAGTTAATTTATCGGATACTCAACAATCACGTTTATGGAGTTTGATATGGCTCATAACTTTGCTTCCTTCTCCATTTGATTTTCTCAAACTAACAATAAACCCAAATTAAGCGTATTCAAATCTCCAAAATCTTACCTTCATCATCCTCATCGGAGCAATCGAAGAATTCATCCTCCGACTCGTGGCTTCCCTCGCGACCACCCTCTTTTGCTCCGTCGGCACCGGTCATCGAGAAGGGCAGCCCTCCCTCGCGGATTTTCCTCCGCTCCATGCAAACATTCAGCATCTGCAACTTCTGGTGAAGCAAACACGTTCTGGAATCGGGGAATCCAGCGGCGATTCTGGAATGGAGAAATTAGGAAAAGCAAGGAATTAGTACACGAATCGAATGCGGTTGGGCGAGCTCATTAGAATGTTAACCCCGTCTTTTTAAAGGTTCTTGGTTTTCTGGTTCGTTGCTGCAACAGGTGGTTAGTTAGAAGAGAGTGGATCGCGCAAGTGCAATCGAAATAAATCAACCTCGCGGTTAGTGCCACATGTTATTGCCCGCTGCTACCAATGTAAACAATGAGCCAACATAAAACGAAACAAAAGTATTCGGGTGGGAAAAAAAGCAGTGGGAATCATTCAGCATGGAGATGATGGTGACTTGCGTACGGATTACACAACGCAGTGCCTCGGTGTGTATTCTTCTTCTTCTGCTTGGATTCTCTCGTTCCGTTCGTTAAGTGGTACGAAAGGTGCTGGATATTCAAAATTGCGTCGAGCCATTTTGTAATTGTGACTGATATCTTAATGTGCATCTCATGGGAAGGTGTGCGGGTCGTCGTAATCAACGTTTTGCTTTTGTCTGGATGATTTAGTTTGTGGGTTTTGTGGTAGAATTTATTGTATCACTTGTGAATTTCCGGTACACTTCTATGTCGGGTGTCAAGCTACTGAGCTATTTACAGGATGAGTTTCGCTCCACTAACGGTTGCAGATTTCTAAATTCCTTTCTTCGATAAATATCGACGATCATTTGTTTATCCGTCTTTTTCTTCGATCGCGAGGAATCCGTGTAACTAAATCATGTCAAGCAGGCCAATCGAATGGGAATAACATAATAAAGTTGAACCACATTCAGGTAATGCACAGCGAAATTAACAAGTGCCAAAGTTTCGCACTTGAAAACAGATCTGCGCACAGCAAGCAAAAGTGTGTAATAATAACCAAACATACCAAGCTTCAAGTTCATCACGAGAGAGAAGATCGCGAGGAAAGGAAAAAAAAAACTAAATCATCCGAAGAAAAACAGCAAAACGTCTGCCAGCAGTTTACTTACTCTCTTTTTGGCGCTTTTCGAAATTGAATTAAGCCACTTTGGGGTGGTGCGCTGCTGGCTGCAGCCCCAGACCCCGATTGTGAATGGTGTTAGCGTGGTAAAACATAAACATTATTGCCGACTCACTTGGCACCTTGGAAAGTGGCAGCAGTAGGAGCAGTAGCCGGGCTTCGGGGTAGAACGTCGAGTAAAATGTGGTGCTGTGTACCAGCCAACCGGAGAAGAGCCCAGCCAGCCGCAAGAGCCAATGAGGGCCCAAACAAAAATGGCTAGAATCATGCGGTTTAGGTCATCGAACGGCGAATGGCGCAATGAGAGCTTTGTGGTTGAACTTGAGTGTGGCTGTCGGTTTTGCTTGCTGTGGGTAGAAGGTTTGCTTAGGAAAGGCTGCAGTTCAGATAAGCTGCTACAATTGTAGGATAGATAGTTGCATGTTATACGATTCTTTTGTTGCAAATTAGAATTGCGTGGGGTCCTCAAAGATGAGTACTGAAAATGCAAAATTGATTTTAAAAATGTGTGAGCATCATGAATTCAATGATCTTTAGAATAACTAGGTCATATGCAACTAGGCTGAACGCAATTAGGCCGAATGAGTAGTTAAGCTTAATCTTGAAAATTGAACTGTGTGAATTATTTGGAATAATTTTCAACACTATGGATCATTGAAAAGCTTTCACGATCTCTGACTGGGAAGGTAAATTGCCACGTAACGTGGGTAGATCACCTTTTTGTGGTACGTTACGGGATGTAAGATCAAGCCCCGATTCCTTGTCCTGAATACGTCAAACTAGGGGAACAGGATTTTTTCAGTAATCAAAGGAAAACATATTAGTCCTTGTTACTTTTTAAATATGTCTTGTTGATAGTGATAAGCCCTCGGGTTGCCTGGACCGAGGATGATCTTGAAACAAGGAAAAAATGAGTTAGTTAGTCTTCACCTATGTGATTCTTAATCTTATATTCGTTGTGCCCTAGTTTAAAGTGGTTTCGACTAGGGTTCTGATGCATGGTCATTATCGGTGTCATTCCTTAATTTTGATGCTAAGAACTCCAATTTTGACTAACAAAGGGACGCGCCTTTGGAGCGTATTTCAACACTCGGAAGGGTATAAATAGCGGGATCTTTCAATTAGAGTCGGATCCTTGCAAGAAATGCAAGAATGACAACTGTAAACAAATCAAATACTTCATCATTTCTCAATAGTGATGAAGTAATACGACATGCACTATACTAAGGCTGTGAACCATTTGCCGAGTTAAATTTAACTCGTGGTTAAAAGTGACATTTCGAAAGTTATTTTCTATGTTCGAAAATCCCCGTGCTGTTGATAGACCGGTTTTCGAGCCACAGTTGTCAAAATTTAACTTCTTGTCTGTCAGAAGTAACCACGCTCGGATAGCAGGGTTAATCGATAACTTTCCATCTGTCAAATTTTAACCAAAAGTTAAAATAATTCGCCAAATGGTTCAGAGCCTAAGAACACTACAGAAAAAAAGGATTTGGATAGCAGGGATCGAAGTAGGCCGCGCTGCGAAAATGTCGTGTTTTTGTGTTGCTGCGTCGTTTTCGTTCTAGTGAAAATGTTATAAATTTACAATTTCATTTTTAAATAGTGCTGATTTGAAAGTACAGAAGTGATGTTGAAAAGTGGTGCCGACTGTTTTAACCTACGCGTAGTTACGCTCAGCTAAGTTTATTAACATTTCCGTTCCTCTGTACTCGATAGTAAATATCCATCTAATTAAAAACGTTCATTTCAAAACATACTAAATAGGTACGTGTCAATCAAGTATTGCACTACTGCTTGATTGAAAGTTTCAGTACATTATCAATGGTGTATATTTGCATCGATAATGTATTGGAGCGGTGCTTACCATGTGTGAAAATAGCTTCGGAATGCTTGCGTTCTTGAAATGGGCTATTGTAGCTGCGGTAGAGCTGTCACCTTCTGACTCCCGGGTTCAAGCTTCTTTGAATTCATAAGAAATGATTGCAGGCATATTTTATCCATAATGCCACTGTTAGACAGTGGGAGTTAGGCCAAGGGCGAATCTTCATTCTAATCTACGATTCCACATACTATTAATGACCTTTTACACATGAGAACCTCCTATCGATCAGAATGAATTGTGTATATGTTTAGGATCAACAAACATTTTCAGGCGCAAAGGAACAACAGGATCGAGTTGATAACATTTCTTAATTCTTAATTCAAATCTGAAGACTGTTTTGAATAATATGTTTAGGTAATGAGCAACAACAGCGTACAGATAAACTACTTACAGCTTCTATTTATGCTTATGCTTATGTTAAATGCTTGATTTAACGATTTCCAGCAACCCCGGCTGGGCGTATCCTATGGCTTACCCTCCCTACTAACAAAAATCCACCCTTCCCGTGACACTTATGAGGGGTCGTAGAGTTCTCTGCATCTCTCTTAAGTAAGTGTCGGACTAACATTCCTCCCCTTTCCCCACTACTTGATGAAATCGGCTGCTTCATGCAGACTGAGCAATTCTGATTATAGTATCAGATTTGTTATGTATACAGAGAAACTGGGAGGGCTCATTAGAAACTTCTCACCAATAAAGTAATGATCTTCTAGTAAATTTTGCATATAATTTTATTAATATTTTATTTTATTTAAGCATATTATTTTTGTTACAGTCAATAAGCATTGGCATACGATACAAGAGATTTAATATTACTTGCTCGTTTTTGCGTAAAATAATCAATATTTATTTTACTTGTAATTGCCTTTGTTTTTTTTTGTGATCTGAAAATTTTCCCAGTTTGGTTAGAAGTTTCGAAGCTAACGCATGTCCACAGGCCTAATAGAAAGATAGGCAAAAAAAGTGTATCATGAAGAATGGTTGCATGCAGGCTTGCTTCCACTCACTTACTATAGATGAGTGATTTTCGGAGTTTTGAATTCGTTAGATGTTGTAATGGAGATTTGTGTTGTTGGATGCGGGAGGAGATTGGAGGGCGGGAGTTTGACGCATAGAGCCTGTCAATTTCGCTTTCAGAGTGTCGCAGTCAGCGGTTTTATGATTCGTGAGTGCTTGTGGATTTGACGAGTTTTTTTTTGTGTCGGACGCTTGCTTTTTGGACTCTTCTTGTGTCTAACATGTGCAGAGTAGCATTATAACGTCTAATGGTTTTGAGATTGCTGGTGGCGTGAAATATATTTGTGAGAATATAGTTTTGAGATTTTAGCAGTCACGTTTTGTTTGTAGTTTATATTTTATTTATTTCATGTAATTATCGTAAATAATAGTTATTCAATAATAGATAGTTCATCCATATATTCGTACTTTGAAGCGATGCGCTGTGGATTATGAGATGCTCGATGACCCTCGAGGGATCGATTTTGCTTACTGAGCAGAAAATCATGGATTTAACCTCAAGCTCTTCCACAGCACAATAAATCGCCACCATCATTTGTATATTTGATATTGAACATTAACCTCGGAAACTATTTGCATATCAAGCGAAAACGTAGTCCTGTATTGTCGCGAAGCGTTATGGTTCTGAGATGCTCGATGACCCTGGAGGGATCGTTTTTGCTTACTGAGCAGAAAATCATGGGTTTAATCCCAAGCTCTCCGTCATGACTCTTAAAATTCATGATCACTAAACAAAATGAATATGTTATTTCGATAGCCGGCTATCGAGAGATTAAATAAACAACAAATAAACAATACATACTTTTGGTTGCATCGCCAACTTGAGGTGAATCCTAACCGAATACCCTACCCAACCCTCCAACTCCGTATCATTTATGAGGGTGTCGCTAAGTCAGTGGCCTCTCGTTAAGTAAGTACTACATCAACATTTCCTTCCCTATCCCTAGTTATGGTAAAGATGGGCATGGAAGGGAATAGCGACAGTCAGTCAGTCTTGTTTAGATTGGAACCAGTGTTTACTCCTTAGCATTATTCCCGAAAGTAGTCTAACTGAGAATTTCAGAAGAGACGTGAGTGTCGCTAGAATCCAATCTACGAAGTATA